GTTTTCTGGACTTAATCCTTGCGTGGAAAGTTCGTCAAATCAGTGTAGTGTGACGTAAAAATTTTTTCCTGTAGGCTAAATGTGCAGAATCCCTTTATAAATTAAAATAGGCACAAAAAAAACACAACAAATTAATTTGAAATTAAAAAAAAAACTAACATGGGCCTTATTGGTTGCCATGCTGGTAACAAAATGGCAACAAAATATAAACAGAAAATCAAAACAAATGAAAGAAATTACAATCACATGTTTTATTTACAGCGTGGGGTGAAAATAGAGAAGTCTGTACATTACATATTTTTGGTCACATTTTCGACCACTGGATGACCTCTAGTTATTAGGCCTATTTAATAGGTGGGTCGTGGAAAGAAATTCCAAGGTGGTAGTGGGTCCCCTAGAAAAAAAAGTTTAGGAACCGCTATTGTAGTTAATCCTGGCTAATGGTACATTAATAATATTCTCCAGTTATCATAGCAAAATGTAGATGATGTAGACCACAGATGTAGATAACCTGAATTGTTTTGTTGCAAATTGCTATAAATACCTAAACCTAAAATAAAGGGTTTAGCACTCTTATTTTCCTGATTAAACTTATAATATAGGCCTAGAAGATTCACTGAAATAGAAATGTTAAAGCCTATAATAATTATATCATCACAAGTTTATTATCTCACTAATCGCCACTCTAAAAGTACATCAGCAGTCTTTTACAAACTACTCAGTTTGTATTTGAGTGTATCATTTACTATAAACTCTAAAGTCAATGGTATCATCTTGAACCCTAGGCCTACACAAAAATTTATAGTGAGTGGCATTCTCTCTTTATAATTTTCTTCTAGTAGGCCTACTTGATGCGACAACTTTTAATATTGGTCAACAAATTCTCCCAACTCTTTTACTTTTTAACTACATTTTGTCTAATATGTTCCATAAATAACATTTCAACCTTGTCCGTTTTCTTGTGTGCTTGTTTCTAGCTCAAAACGGATTTGTTGTTTGTTTGTATGCTATGCAATTTTTTTCCCAATTCAGTGTTTCTTGGTTAGGCTAGTTGATTGTTTTCACGCTTGTGAATTTTATTTATATTTTCATAATATCATCCTGGTTTTGTTGGAGTTTTCTTTTGTGACGTTGCATGTATCTTTGTGTTCCATCTTGCATTTTGTTGTGTTTGTTGTGTGCCATGCATGTTTGTGTTGGTGGCTTGCTGTAGTTCTTCAGATAAGAACTCATTCCAACACAATTATTTTGTCATTGCAGGACCGTTCGGAGCCCTGCTTGTGGAAGAGTATCCAAACATGTCACCAGCCATGCAAAATCTGATGTTTTCCCTTGAAAATCCAACAATTGAAGAGATTCTGGTCGTCTTGCTTTACATCCTAATTGTAGAATCAGGTTTTGTTCCCTTTCCTTCCGACCCTGTACCGGGTGATGGAAGTTACTCTTACAATGCTCAAAGACTCAAGCAGTTGTCAGCTCGTCCTAGAAGCTGGAGGGATGTTGATGGAGTCTTTAGAATATACTTCACCCTTGCATCGTTTGTCGACGAGAAGTGTAAGCTGGTCTGTGTTCCGGTAGGCAGCTGCTTCGTAGCCAACATGTACAGTAGGTGCAGTGACAGAACATTTGCTTTGGTGATCAACCCTTCGGATTACGTAGCTTTGTATCCTAATCAGGTCATTTTCAAGAGACTTAAAAGTCTATCCTATAATTTTAAGAATCAAGTTGTTATTCCTGCTCGGACTGTGATATTGAATGAAATCCACCAAACCTCTGTCGGTCTTTTTGCTTTACCGGTTGAAGTTTTACTGAAGATCATCAAATATTTACAGGTCGACGATTTTCTTAAATGGACTTCCACCTGCAAGTATTTTTTTCATACCTTTTCTTATGACGAGCATATATGGAAGAGGTATTGTGAGTTGAAGTTCTGCAGGCCTGTGGACTTACAGATGTCACCCCATATCAGAGAGACCTATAGACAGTATTACTACAGGAAAATTACCTTCAGAAACAGGGTGTCTAGCTTACGTATCAGCCATTTTCCACTTTCTGAAATGTAACACTCTTCCTCTGGTAAAACACACGTGATATATTTATTAAGTATCTATGTTTTTTTACCTATTTATAAACCTTCCTGCAGTCATTCTTTTTTTTTTTTAAACTATGATCGAAGAACTCATGTGACTACCATAGTAGTCAACTCAATGATTATATACTGTTAGACTAGTTTTAATACGATTTTCTAAGTTATAATATGCAGTACTTACGAGTTAATCACTCATTACAATTAGCAATTAATTCCGTGATAGCACACATTTTACTATAACTCACAGTTTTATCTTCTGAAAGAGATTGTGCTAAACATAGAAGAGGCTATCATAGCAAACAAATAGCTTTTCAAATAAACAATACTTCTTAGGCCCCTGCATTGTAACAAAATAGAACAATGATGCTTTGGTCTTGTAACCCATAAATAAATTGCTTTTGCCCTTTATTGTACATTGTGCACATGCTATGATAGGGCAACAGAAGGTAGCTGAGTAACTTATTCTGCTTGCAAAGTCTCCCGACAATGATTTTGCTATAGTATGATTTTAATAAGGTTACATTTGGGTATACAAAGAAGAATACATTTTGTAAGAAAACATTTGAATCCAAAGTAGATAACATTTCAGCTACCTTATGGCCAGGCATTCATAGTTAAAGTTATGAACATTATTTGCATCAGTTTGATTAGTTTGTTGTAGGCCCTATTTAATACTCTTTTAGTTAATGTGTTTCCCAGTATTGTCTCTGCGATAGTCTTGTTATTTTGAACACTAGATAATTACAAGTAGGTCTTTTTTAAAGGTCCTTACATTAACTTTCCCTACATATAATTTGTTAAAAAAATATCTTTACTGACATTCAAATGGTGTTTGCGGTTTCGTGAGAAAAGGCGTAACTGTTAAGCCACCAAAATAATATATTAGTATTTCAATTGTGATAAACCATGAGTAATGATGTGATATAACTTTTTGTTATAAGCTACTATGATTAAAATATATTGATTTAATAAACTGAAACTTAATTAGAACCCTAAATATTCTGATATTAGATAATTAATTAAAAACTAAGATAGTTTTTTTTCAGTCCAGAGAAAGGTTAAAATGAACCTCGCACGCTCTATAAGTCCTGGGTGTTGTCAGATGATTAAAAAAATAAGTTATGTCTTGTGTATGCAATGCATATTATTTATTGTGCAGTAATCAGTAATGTATTATCTGTACCTATGTAAGTGACATGCTGATTTTAAAATTTGAAATAATTGAATCCGACCAAGAGCAATACCATAGCCTCCTCATCTGGTAGCATAGCAACACAGCTGTCCCATCAAACTGAAACAGCTGTTGTACTAATTTATAATGGACAGTATAGGAAATTATTATGTTTACACTTTTGTTATTTCTGTTATTACTATGACAATAGGCATGACGTTGCGATGTTGCAACATACCACCCAACGCCGCCGCCTTGTGTTATAGGAGGCTATGGCAAGTACTGTGGAAACATACAAGAGATAGAAAATACAAAATTGTTTGCATCCAAGACATCATAAAATAGAGCATAGTCTTAACAAACTAATCAAGACATCTTCAAAAGCTAATCGAGGAATATATTAGGAATGAGAGTTTACAATGCTCTTCTGCCCCGTTAAAACCAATTCAAGTTTAAATGCTCTCTATGCTTGGGTCTGTACCCTACCACCCTACCCTACTTGCTTTTAGAATGCAGAAGATACAAAATCATATACAGTAGTACCGTACTTGCAACAGACTGTAAAAACTCCTTTAAAAGACTTTAAAAATCTTACTTGTCACATTTTTTTTTCCATGCATAGGTTTTCAAAACTCTGTCTTGAATAGTCTGCTCTCTCAAATAGTGCATTCCTACAATATGAGTTGATAGTTCTGACTTCAAATTATATACAGTATTATAACTTGTGTTGTTTTCGTGGTGTGGCATCAACTTGACAGTACCACAAATGGTTGGGATAAGGGGTAGACAAGTGTGGTGGTGGTTTCTGTTTTACAACCATCATGGGCAACATTTTCTGCATACTGTTTTACCAATTAATGATTCAATGGTAATTGTAAACATATTAGATGTAGTCACACCCCTTTAGTCATATTACTACTTGTCATTTTTGTGAATGATACCTAATAATGTTGGTAGGAAACCCTCTCTAACATAAAAGCAAAAATATATAGTTTCTCTGTGACCCTCAAAGTCAAACCCCTATAGCCCCTATATAAGTGCTTACACTTAACCACCTTGTAACATGGAGAAATTATTTTTAAATAGTAACATTACAAAAATCACAACTCTGCCTGTTTCCATACAGAAAATATTTTGGGGTTGGATCTTAAATCCTGAGGGTTGTATGAGTACAACCACGTACTTCAAATTTCTACCACGTCCGTTCACAAACTTCTCTACTGGTTAACCGTATATTGTTTACATCACAGAAAGGGCTTGAAACGAACTGTATTGGTGGGTTTTCCTAGCTGCTAAACATGGCTGCTTGCATAGACTTCACACAAGAGACAAATACAGCCATTTTCCTGGCTGCCAAATTCAGCAGGTTGCTACACTTTAAAAACTGCGGGTACTAAAAACTCGCACGACATTCACAATTCTTCAGCCTTATTTTTCAGCTAGGATAACCCACATGAAAACAAGTTTTTTACCTCAATAGGTGGAAGCATGAAGCATCTAACTAGAAGTAACTTCCATTTGTGAGCAGCATTTCAGTATCAGAAAAATTGGCTTTTCTGTGATTTGTTTGTGTTGATAGTTATGCACATTTCAAAAGCTCACTTATTTTGAATAACCTATTTCAGGAGGTATTCTCAATCTTAACCATTGTTTTATTATTTTTATTTTTAAATGTAATTTTAGTAATTTTGAATTTGTGTGCTGAACCTCAAAGTGACTATTTGGTTTGTGACTGTCCAGAGGAGAATGGAGTTGCTGAGGTGGCGTCATCTGCGGAGGGGGAGGGGGATGTTTGCCCCCCTGTCCCCTCCACCACAGCTAGCTGTAATGGAGATACAGGTAGGCCTCATTCCTAAGGTATATATGGTGGTGGTTTAGTATCAAACTACAGTAGTACTCATTTTAGTATACTTTACCACCAATGACATTTTTCAGAAGGATGGGTCAAACCATGACGTTATTTTGTATTCATCTATTCTATTGTCGTCATTAAGGCAATGGTCCAAACCTGGTCTTTATCCTACATCAACGATTTGTTATATAGCTTTGTAAACTAACCAACAGCCTAATGGCAATGTCATCTGGGTCCAGAAATTAACTAATTTGGAATTGAACCAGCGACCTGCGTTGTAATGTTTTTGTAACTTGATTGTTTTGGAGCTTTAAAATAGCTTAAATGCAAGTTCTGGTACCAACAAATTCTGCCATATTACTCAACAATCCATTGACTTTTGTATACTGAAGCAAAAACAATGTTGTCCGGTAATATCCAGATATATCCATTTGAGCGTATGCAAAGACGTGTAAATACTGGTAATTTCAAAACGTTCAATATTTAATCTGTGTGGGTGAGTATATAAGTATCTGTAAATATTCAAAATCTGTAATATTCTGTAAATATTATAAGTGTTATAGGACGTTTCTTTTATTTACTTTCTGTAAATTTAATAACACGTACAATGCTGATCAAGAAGTTATTTTGTAAATATTCGACAAACATCGCTCAAATTGATATACAGTAGTACCTTGATATCTCGAATCTGAAGGGGCTATCATAAAAATTCGACTTATCAAGTTTCGGTTCGAGTTATGAAGGTGCTATACCAAAAAGTTCGAGATACCTAGGTGTTCCGAGTCTGACAATGATGTTACATCAAGACCTTTTGGAATCGGCCCTGATACAGGAATGTTTTATCTTGACAGTGTTGCAACCTCGCTCACACACATTGGTCCATGTATTTAACCCTTTAGATGCTAGAATTTTATTTGTAATTTTCCAAAAAATGCTAGAGTTATTGACTTATTTCGTCCAAAAAGTGTGAGAGCGAAGTCTAGTAATATGAGAGAGAAAAATCAGTTAAAATACAATTTTTCATCTCCAAAGTGCTAAGGAATGATATAATGGGCCTCGATCGTATGAGAAATCGAGAGAAACCATCCCCGTTTCGAAACAACAACCGAGTCAACCGATATGCCCCTTTAAACTCACACGGTCGAGAGTCGCGCCGGCACGATATATCGTCTTTTAGCACTATTCGGACCAAACGGAAACAACGATATATCAATCTATAGCACTTTTCGGGTAAAAGACGCACTATACATCGTCGCATAGCACTGAAAGGGTTAAACTCACAATGTTTCATATCTTCTTATTGGTTAATCCAGCTTCAGCCTCATACTTTCCTCGGTATTTCAAAATCGTCGATAATTTGTTAGGCGGAACTCCAAATCCCCTGGTGATTTCACCTGTTTTTTTTATCCTTCGTCAAATGCCAATCACTCTTCTTTTTTGGTCATTTATCAAATTTTACACTTACACTTAACTGACGACATGACATCCGACGTGCGCAAGATTATCTCAATAACTGGCAGACTAACAGTACAGTACTAGCGAAACCGCTAAAAAAAAAACACAGGAAGTTGGATTTTCATGTCTCAACAGGAATCAAAGTACAATTGACTTGTACTGTACGGAAAAACTTCTAATTATTGAGGAGCATCATGCGAACTTTAACTTATAAAAGTAAACTTAGAGTTACTGAGGCTGAAAAACAGAAAAAAAATTGAGTTACAGAAGTTGAATATTATTGATAGAAAATTGACTATTGAGTAATAACATTTGACTTATTGAGATAATTTTAGCATTGTTACTTGGTTTTCAAGGGGATAAAAAATATTGAGATATCATGAAATTCAAGATATTAAGGTTCGAGTAATTGAGGATCTACTGTATTTTACAAGAATGCTGCAGAAGATGAGCTGTAAGAAGCTTGTAACATGTACAGCATGAACAGTCACTATATTTGATACGTTGGGGCCAAAGTAAATACCGTATGTAGATTCTTATCTATAAATGAATATTGAAGGTGTCAAGCCTGATCAATTTGAAAATAAGTTGTCTTTTCAGTTTATTTTAGTTAGGTAACAATTTTGTTTATTCAACAGATATCAGTAAATTACATTAGCACTTTGAGGGTGGCTCAGTTGAATTATAATCATTTTTATTCTAACAACTTACTTGGTCAATGGATTTTGGAACATATCATGGGAAAGAAGTTCAAGTTCTTTTTTATAGTCAAAGGTTTACCTAATGGATGAGTTTCATAATGGATTAAGATGTGGTTTGGGAGTTAATCAGAAATAATTTATACTGAGTGTTTTTTACTTTCTCTTCATAAACATAGTAGGCGATATGGAGAAAGTGTTGTTTTCATCAAAATCTTTAGGTTTTGGGTGGAAATATCCGTTAAGGGTCCCCCTGAACACCAAAAAGTAGTTTTCAAAGTGATGTGTGTGTCTGTGTAGAGCCTACAGCGCTACAGACCACACCTGTGGTCAGATATGAATGAAATTATGATTTTAATGGTGACTTTCCCATAAAAACCATTAAAAAAACTTAAAAGTAGAAGTGTTTTGCAAAAATGGATCTAATGATTTTGATTCAAATTTTGTATTTTATGGTCCTTTTAACTCTAAACAAAATGCTACAATCCCCAATGCTTAAAAATCACAATAATTTAGATATAATATGTGTGTGTTTGTGAAAAGGATAGCTCGAGTAATTTTGGTCCAGGTTTGCTAACCAGTAAGATTGGATCACGGGATCGGGGTGGTGTTATAGGGCTTTAAAATTGTTCAATAATTGTTTTTTCCCCAAATTTTTCTTCTTATAACATGGAAACACCAAATTTTTACTACAACTGTAGTGCTTAAAAAACTAACAATTTTGTATACTGGAGCGATGTTGTAGAATTAAAGGATACAAAGAAAATTTCTAAAAAATCTGTACATTGAAAATTCCCATGTTCTTATGGGGAAAAAGAAGACTTGTAGTTTGCTTGTTTATGGATATATTTTTATCAAACTTGGCAAATTGATTTTTTTAATCCTATTCTATTAACATTTGATCATCGTTTGATCGAATGTTATTTATAGTTAGGTACCTATATGACTCTCATATGGAAATATTGTAGTAAAAATCCAATCAGACAGAAAAAAATTCGCTTGGTATGCATGTTTGCTGCCTCAGGGGTGTTTAAAATAAATACCATTTTAAGTACCGGTAAGTGTAACTTTTCTACCTTTAAAGTTGAATCTTACAGTGCATCTCTGTAGCGCTGCCCATATCGTTCTTAGGTACGGCAGTGTCATAAATTTTCAGCACTTGTCTAAATCTAAAAAAAATTCTTTTTTGCTGAAAAAGTGCTGTATTTGATTTGCGCTGATGATGGATCTGTATAATAATGAAATAAAATGAAAATGGTTTATTTGTACAGGCAACTTACACTGTTACACTTAACCTGTGGATACAATAATCTGTATAAGTGTAGGGTCTACTATTATTTCATACACTAAATTTTAAGGACCAAATATTTTGCTTCCCCATAAACTTACTGCAAAGAACGGTAAGACAGGTGCAGCTGGTAAGACTAGTTGAACTATAAAACATGGAGCCACAAAACTCATTAACATGGGTACGGTACGGGAACCAATAAAAATTGTTGGATATAGAATAGCCTACTCATAGTTCAACACAATTTTCATAAATCTGACAAAAACCTCTATGATAGAGGTTAGGTTAGTTATTCATATCATTCATAATAGTCACAAAGTAACAGATTTGATCCTGAGAAAAGTCAGAAGCTCTTTGATGATTCACATGGACGTGGACCAGCTATCTATGATCATGGTCCTGGCCTTGGCTATAGTAAACAGTTGATCTTGGTAAAAATCACAAGAATCACAGTCAAAATAATTATACAGTTATTACGAAATCTCACCCTGCATTCATATCCAGCTTAAAAAATGTGCACAGTCTTTAATAATTAATTGGTAGGCTATAGCCTGAGTCAACACTAGAGCCCAACAATAAACAATAACCCTATGTCTTTAACTGTAACCCTTCCCGGACGGGCGAAATCGTGACATAGAACGGGAAAAAATTATAGGAGAAAATAAAAATTAATTTTCCTTATTTGTGTTTTGTTATACAAGTACCGTATACATAAAAAACACAATGGAACACTTCATAGGTCAAAATAATTTTTTACTCGTTTTTAACTATGCAGATATATCCGCTACCCGTCCGCGTAAGAGTAGAAAAGCGGCGGATATATCCGCCACCCGTCTTTAAAGATATGACCATGACAACGTTAGGCAATAAATAAAGACAACGTAGTGTTGAGCGCGAAACGTCGAGGGGGGAGATTAGGAGCGGTTGGGGTGCGCGGGAGAGGGGGAGTCACGGGAGAGGGGGGGAAGTGCGGGAGTTAACGCAGCCATGGAGAGAGCAGGAAAGTGGCGCCTTGGTGTTGGTACCACGAAACATCTGGTTACTGCTGAAGCACTTGCCAGTCTATCTGCAGAGAAGGCGGATATATCCGCTTCCCGTCCGGAACATCAAAAACCATAAGCGGATATATCCGTTACCCGTCCTTTATCACCAAAGGCGGATATATCCGTCACCCGTCCTTTATCGCCAAAGGCGGATATATCTTTAACCCGTCCTTTATCGCCTAAGGCGGATATATCCATCACCCGTCCGAGAAGGGTTTTATGCATGCGGTACAGACAGATAATGCAATAGGACAAGTCAAGAAGTGGACATTGTAAAAATACATAGAATTGACACATCTAACAAAATAAGAACAGCGACAAAGATAAGATATGTTAAATCAGATTGATTGACAGGTTATGATCGATTGATTAGGAGGCGATCGTCCACGTAATCCGCTAAAGAGTAGTAGGATTGGTCCTTTAGAAAAAGAGTTACAGTTTTCTTAAATATATTTAGTTGCAAATTTCTAATAGCTAATGGGAGTTTATTATAAATAGCGATT